ATATCTAAAAATGACTATGTACCCCCCCCTAGCAGCCACATCTTTTGACATAAAGAGCTCGAATTTAGTACACTTACGTATTTTAACGTGAAAATTACAGGAAAAATATAGCGAACTTGATTCGGATCAATTTACATAGCGTTGTCAAGGAAAAATCAAAAATTTCGAAAAAAATGATTTATTCTCACTAGCGCACATAATATTCAACCCAAACTGTTCATATTTGCTGTAAAACAGTATTTTTGCGTGAAAAATACAGGGAAAAAATGTAAGCGCAATGGGAGTTGATGATCAATTTTTATCAAATTTTTGAAGAAAACTGATAAAATTAATTAAAAAATGTATTTTTCCGCAAAAAACGAAAAAAATCGGACAAGTGCGAGTTACACTCGCACTGAAATCGAGGGTTCCGTACTCGAAGCAAACTTATTTGGTATAAAAACAAATGTTTAAAAAATATGTGTTGTATGTTAAATAATATACGTGATACAAAAAAACACAATTTTTTAAAAAAAATTTAAGAAAATTGTTCCTCCTTTGGTATAAAAACAAAAAAAAATTCTAAATATGTGTTGTATTTCAAATTATATAAGTGATACAAAAAGGAACAATTTTGTAAAATTTAAGAAACTTGTTCCTCTTCGTATCACTTATATTATTTGAAATACAACACATATTTAGAATTTTTTTTTGTTTTTATACCAAAGGAGGAACAATTTTCTTAAATTTTTTTTAAAAAATTGTGTTTTTTGTATCACGTATATTATTTAACATACAACACATATTTTTTAAACATTTGTTTTTTACCAAATAAGTTTGCTTCGAGTACGGAACCCTCGATTTCAGTGCGAGTGTAACTCGCACTTGTCCGATTTTTTTCGTTTTTTGCGGAAAAATACATTTTTTAATTAATTTTATTTTTTTTTTGAACTGTGTTTAGAATACTTACTTTCCCCCCTTTAATCGTTTTTTGTGATTTGATTTTTGTGGCTCTTTGTGAGGTTGATAGGCGATATTACTGAGAGTAACATCGGCCTAGGGGAGGGGATTGTAACGAAGCATTCGTTAGTCGGTTTTTGGTCAGCTTTTCTATGTGGCAGTCTAATTCAGTTGCTTTCGCGAAATCCGTCGAAGGACTGATTTACGCAGGCGTGACGTACGAACGTTCACGGGGGGCGGCGAATAGGGCCGAATAGTCATTTTCGAAGGCTAGGATTGTCCGTAGGAGTGAGAGAGATCGAACCATATTGGAGATCCAAGGACCGGCAGGGGGATCTATCAGCAGTTCGATTACCCGATTGATATTGAGCGGACGTGCTCACAAGTTCAATTACCCGATCGTTATAGATTTATTTTAATTATAAATTCAAAAACCACATTACAACGGATACTATTTAATGAAAGATCAATGAAATTGTCAATATATACAAAATAGTTAATACGTAATGGACAGTTTTTAATAATCAACTAATAACACAGCCCCACAAAAAAAAGTGTCATGTACTTTTGACCGGAATACCCTAACCCTATGTATTTTGACGCGCTGAACACGAATCCGAAGTCCGTTTTGCTCTATCACGTCAGGATTTTTTTCTAACCTAAAAAAACATGTCGGATTTTGAGAAGTAGGCGATTTTTTTGAAAATTGATGTATTAACTTCAAACTTGGTATCTGGGGGTTTTTTGTGTCGCTGATTACGAATCTGAAGATAGATTTTCAAAATCAAAAATGGCGGATCCAATATGGCGGACGAATTTTGAAAAAATTTTAAGATTTACTTCAAACTTGGTATCTAGGGGTTTTTTGGGTCGCTGATTACGAATCTGAAGTTAGATTTTCAAAATCAAAAATGTCGGATCCAATATGGCGGACGAATTTGAAAAAATTTTAAGATTTACTTCAAACTTGGTATCTAGGGGTTTTTTGGGTCGCTGATTACGAATCTGATGTCAGTTTTCAAAAATTGATAATGGCGTATCTAATGTGGCCGATAGAAGTCCATGTTGGATATGCCATTTTGAATTTTTGAAATCTGACATCAGATTTGTAATCAGTGACTCAAAAAACCCCCAGATACACTATTGCACATTAATTTTTGAAAAATTTCGTAAAATAATGTCCCCCTACCAAAAAAAAATTCAAGGTGTATTTTCATCCCATAAATCAGCTTTTGGGGAAAAACAAAACATACGTGTCAAATTGTTTTCAAAAAACTACAAAATTGCCATGTTTCAGAAAAATCGGCGTATGGCACTTCCCTAGTGTTACTTGTCAGCAACTTAGAAAACCTGTAGATACCAAATTTCATAATAATCTGACAATTTTTTAAAAATAATTCCTTAATATTGAATCAGACATATCGAATTTCCTAAATCTGACATCAGATTCGTAATCAGCGACCCAAAAAACCCCTAGATACCAAGTTTGAAGTAAATCTTAAAATTTTTTCAAAATTCGTCCGCCATATTGGATCCGCCATTTTTGATTTTGAAAATCTAACTTCAGATTCGTAATCAGCGACACAAAAAACCCCCAGATACCAAGTTTGAAGTTAATACATCAATTTTTAAAAAAATCGCCTACTTCTCAAAATCCGACATGTTTTTTTAGGTTAGAAAAAAATCCTGACGTGATAGAGCAAAACGGACTTCGGATTCGTGTTCAGCGCGTCAAAATACATAGGGTTAGGGTATTCCGGTCAAAAGTACATGACACTTTTTTTTTTTGTGGGGCTGTGTAATGATAATGTTTTATTATAAAAAAAATCTTATTTTAAGATGAGTCTTAAAATCAGCGCTAGTAGTCATAACGGAAATTGCACTACTTTCATTGAAACGTCCCCCACGTGAAAAAGTTCCCGGAAATTCTTGCGGAAATTCCGATACATTTTTTTTCATATAATTTAGCACAACAACTCTGTTTTTCAACATAACTGAATTAAAATTATTGTTTATAATGAACAAACACATTTTATACATTGCACTTAAGAAAATTTTATTAAAGTCGTTTTGTTTTTACTATTTATGAAACTAATCAAACAAAACTTTTAGGTTCGGAACTTTTGAATTGACAGGCATGTATGCCAGCCATGTATAGATAATGGTGCCAAATTTAAAATGCGTCAAATTAAATGCAATAGTTTTTAAATTTACATTATTTTATAATAATTGAAAGAGCAAAAGTGTATTTCAAAATATTATAAGTTTCCATATTTTCACCTAATATTAATTCATGTCAAGTTTACCTTTTATTCAACTTTTTTTTTTAAATTCACTTAATTATATAACAATATATTGTTATATAATTATAATAATTATGATGGGTCAGACCATTATATTTCGACCAAAGTCGTTGCGGCCTAATTTTAAAAAAATTGATACTTCCAGTACTGATTCTTTATGATATGCAGAGAACGAAATAAAAAGAATTATTACAAAAATTTGTTTATTTTTCTCAAAATATGAGTTTAAAGTGGAGAAGGTCCGGAAAACTGTCACTTTTTTAGCAATTATAAAATATATAAAAAAACATATAATTATTGTTAAAAAGGTAAAAAGAATTATTGTTTCTTGTTCTACGCGCACCATAAATTCCGTTTTCGTCCCGAAACTTTTTTAGGAGATATAGGCGATTAAAAATTGCACATTATTTTCAGGTTAAAACTGTACTTGCTTCTAACTTAAAGTTGGTCTACTCTCAGCGATCGCGTTCAATGTTTAGATTTTGAAGTTGATATAACTTACTTAAATGTTTATTTTCGTTAATTATTTTCATAATTTATTAAAGAATAATTGATTGACATTCAATCACATTATATAATATATTTAATTAATAATTATATAAGTATAATAAATATAATAGAAATTAACCAAATTTTGTAAAAATCTATAACGAAAAATTTTCCGAGAGTCAACCTTTATTATGTCACGTTATTTCTTGAAATTTTCTTCAGAGAATATAAAAACTCTAAAATTCGACAACGAGACGTAATTCAATTAATTATATAACAATATATTCTTATATAATTAATTGAATTACGTCTTAAAATTTTTTTAATTCCACGAAGTGTTTTTTCTGACGAATTTGCATCTTCTTATCAATAAATTATTGTACTCATTAATTTTTCACCAAATAAAAAACAGCACAATGGGTTAATATCTGGGGACTTCCTAGTATTACACGTATATTTCCACGTATAACAATTCTTGAAATTTTAAAAAAGTTTAAAAGTATAAATTACACGTGTAATTACACGAGTTAAAGGTTATAAAATATTCAAGAAATATCAAAGTATCGATTACACGTGTAGTTCCACGTGTAACAAATTCTTAAATTTCCAAAAAGATTTAAAATATATATACACGTGGAGGAACGAATGGTCGAAATATCTGTTAAAAATATTAAGTCTGAAATACACGTGTACATCCACGTGAAGAATGTGGCAATGTGTATATGCACGTGGAGGAATGGTCGAAATATTCTTGAAAAAAATAAAGTCCCGATTACACGTGTATATACACATGGAGGAAAATTGAAAATTTCTGTGTAAATAATAATGTCCCAAATACACGTGGTGGAAAAATCAAAAGTTCTGTGAAAAAATAAAGTCCCGAATACACGTGTATATCCACGTAGAGAATATGGTAAAATATCTTTAAAAAAATTAAGTCTTGAATACACATTTACCTATATACACGTGTATATACACGTGAAGGAATGATCGGAATATCTGTTAAAAAAATTAAGTTTTGAATACACGTTAATATGCACGTAGAGAATATGGCAAAATATCTGTAAATAATTACGTCCTTAATACATGTGTCTTTACACGTGTAAATTTTCAATAGGGGAGTCATAAGTTTCGCATACTTGCTGCAATCCTGCAAAACTTGCATGAAAATCTTCCTGCAAACTTAGATGTTATCTGACTATGCTCTTTGTGCGTTTTTTAAGTGACATTATCATTCATTCAATGTTATAGTAGTGAAGGTAAACTTACAGCTACGATGAAGTAGTAACTATAAATGATGGTAAACAGTGGTAAGTAGTATACAAAAAACGAGTACACTAAAATATATGATCTCGAAGCCCAATCTGTAGCCAGATAATCTGTGCCGCATGCTGTTAAATTACCTTCAGGAACATACCTGAAATAAAAGACATTAATGTTGCTATTTAGAAATAAAAATCAAATGTCTTGATTTTTTGTACATTACATGTATGCCATATTATTCCTGAAACGTCTCCGTTAGAAATTAAAATTTATTGGATTTGCTTGACGCTTTAATAAGTTATTCTCCAATATGCCGGTAAAAAATCTCTAAAATATTAATACCCAAGTGCGAAATGCCGAGAGTGCAAACATGGCCCAACATTGGGGCATCAATGTCTGCCGAGAATTGGCAAAAGTAACTAGTTTAGAACGGTTGACATGTTGAATTTTGCTTCTAAATGCTCCCAACTCATTGTAATCTCTTCTCATGCATTATAAAAGTATACAGAAAAATAGTTAACCTTTGCACACTTCATTAAAACTGTATAATTAATAATGAATATAAACCTAAACTGTCCGACGCATAGTTTGTGAAGAAAAGTAAGTATTAACTAATAGATGTGTTTAAATCTGGCTGATATTTCTCACTCGAAGGTTTTTGGGGTCGCTGCGACTACTAATCTGAATTTTAAATTTTCCAAAATTCAAAATGGCGAATCCAATATGTCGGACGACTTTTTAAAAAAGTGATCCCATTGGCCTCAAATTTGTTACTTGGGGGTTTTTGGGGTCGCTGATTATGAATCTGAACTTTGTTTTTCAAAATTCAAAATGGCGGATCCAATATGGCGGATGACTTTTAAAAAAATTGATCCAATTGGCCTGAAATTCGTTACTCGGGGGGTTTTTTGCGTCGCTGACTACGAATCTGAACTTAGTTTTACAAAATTCATAATGGCGGATTCAATATGGCGGATGACTTTTTACAAAATTGATCCCATTGGCCTAAAATTTGTTACTCGGGGGTTTATGGGGTCGCTGATTACGAATCTGAACTTAATTTTTCAAAATTCAAAATGGTGGATCCAAAATTGCAAACAAAATTTTTTAAAAATTTTTTAAAAATTCAAAAATTGTTATAAACTACATTTACTTATGACTTAATAAGCAATAGGCCATAAAATTTTCGAAACTGTAGCATTAAATCATTTTAAAGGTGGTAGCGACCCAAAAAACCCCCGAGTAACAAATTTCAGACAAATTCGATCAATTTTTTTAAAAGTCGTCCGCCATTTTGGATCCGCCATTTTGAATTTTGAAAAACTAACGTCGCATTTGTAATCAGCGACCAAAAAAATCCGCGAGTAACAAATTTCAGTCAGTTTTAAACACATCTATAGATTTTGGGCAGGTTTTTTGCAATAAGGCCCACTGTGATGCGTAACAATGTGTAAAAATGAGTTACGCAAATTTTTTTATAGTATTTGATCAATACTGAAGACAATAAAATTTGTTTCACGAATGTGCCCTGAAAAAAAATTAATTTTTCTAATATCTCAAAGTTTAAAAGTTCTAGAGATATGCCGATATATGTCCAAAAAAGTCGTGCCACCTTTGTGAGTTTGGACATGTATGTCCATCTTAGAAACAAAATACTAAACATAATTTGATTTAAGTGTCAATGAGTATACTAAGGTTTTTGGGGTCGCTGAATCCGAATTTGCTGTCAGATTTACAAAATTTAAAATGGTGGACCCAATATGGCGTCCAAAAGAATTTAAAACTTGACCAGATTTGCATGAAAATGGTTCTTTTAGGGTTATTGGGGTTGCCGAATCAAAATTTTAGGTCAGTTTTAACAAATTCAAAATTTGGATTCATAGACCTCAAAAACCCCCGAGTACCGAATTTTGAATTAATCAAATCAATTTTAAAATTTTCCCGCCTGAAAAAACTTGTACAAGAAAATGTATAAGTTCTTGTACATACTCATCAATGAACTTGTACATTTTCTTGTACATGTTCAAGCAGTGGCGGATCCAGAACTTACTCCAGGGGGGGTCATCCATAGATGATCGACGTCCGTCGACCACCTTTGTGTGACCTTTTTTTTTTAATACAAATATTTTGCTCCAGGGGGGGGGTCATGACCCTATTGACTCCCCCCTGGATCCGCCACTGTGTTCAAGTAATGTTCTTAAACAAGTTTAGCATTCGGAATTGAGACATGTTCTTGTACCAGAACTTGTAAAAGATTCTGGACAAGAAAATATATTTGTACAAGAAAATGTACATGTTCTTATACATATTTTTTGTGCAGGTTTCATGTACAAGTACTTTTACATGAACACGTTTATGTTCTTGTACAACAACATTTGTTTAAAAATGTTTTTAAAAAAATTTGAAATTTTAATAAGTTATAATTATTAAGACATGTACAAGAACTCGTTCCACATCTGGTACAAGAATATGTACATGAAACCTGCACAAAAAAATGTGTACAAGAGCATGTACATTTTCTTGTACAAGTATATTTTCTTGTCCAGGATCTTGTACAAGTTCTGGTACAAGAACATGTCTCAATTCCGGATGCTGAACTTGTTTAAGAACATTACTTGAACATGTACAAGAAAATGTACAAGTTCATTAATGAACATGTACAACAACTTGTACATTTTCTTGCACAAGTTTTTTCAGCCGGGTTCTACTATATTGGGTCGCCATATTAGGTCCGCCATTTTGGGTTTTTTTTAATTTGACCTCAAATTTGGATTCAGCGACCCCTAAACCCCCCGAGTACCAAAGTTTGAACGAATCGAATGAATTTCAAATTTTTCCGCATTATTGAGTCACCATATTGTGTCCGCCATTTAAAAATTTTTTAAATCTGACCTCATATTTGGATTCAGCGACCCCAGAAACTTTTAATACAATGATATGATATTTTTTGGAAATAATGTGACATGGCCTGACCTAATGATGACACATTAACGGTACATTAATGGCAAAAGTGATAAGAATATAATGTCAAACTATATTTGCCAGTAATGTGAAGTAGCTTGGCATGTGGACGGCGCATTAATGGCAAAAGTGATAGAAATATAGTGACAAAATATATGAGAAAAACTAAAAAAGTGGACGAAGGGGTTATCCATAAACTAAATTACCTATTTTAGGGGGGAGGGGGTCAAAAAGTATATAAAAATGTATTAATCCTCAGAGTACTGACTGGGTTAGCGTAACCCAAGTGAAATTTGAAAGTTGTGCCATTTCTGAAAAAGTCGATTGTGGGGTAAACCCCGATTTTTTGTAAACTTTTATAAATTTCCCACATAATTTGTTTAAAGTCTAATAACGTTTATATTTGAAGGAATCATATAGTATAATCAAGTACTGCTGCATACACTACCGTCGGGAATTGTGCGGCCTTTGCTTTTTCTATAACTGTGAAACATGATGAATAATGTGTTATATAAGAGTTCATACATATTTGCACTCACACTTGTTCTTCTTTAGTAAAATATTGACTCTCTGCAAGTAAATAATAATTTTGTAGTTGTTTCAGACTTTGTAGTTGATTTAATTAATTTTGTAGTAAAATGTGAAGAAGAAAGAAATTATTTTTATTAATTTTATTAAAAAGAGTAAAATTAATTACACACAGAGTTAAAATAAGTACAAAAGTAGTTATTTTTAAAGGGAAGCTTCATATAATCGACTTGTTTTGTAAAATTTATTAGAAACAACTTATAGTCTTTATTAAAATGCGTTAAATTAAATTATACAAATAGGTAAGGTTTAAAGGTATTAGAATAAATTTTTTATCGAGCAAAAAAAGAGAATGGCGGCACTGCAGCTGTTCAAACTTAGTTCCTTAATTTTGCACCGTGGATTGGCCAGGTCTTTGTAATTAACGAAAATCGACAAATCAAATTATTTACTAAAATAAGATATTCCGCTTCGAACTAATTTCAATTGAGTAAAAGAAAAAATTAATTGAAAATTTAAAAATATTAAAAAAAAGAACTTTAAAGTAAATGTATTTTTAAAGCAACAAATTTATTATATGAGGTTTTGCCCTCATGTTTTTATTCATAAAAATATTTTTGTACAATTTATATAAGTCAAATTTTTGGTTATTATAAATTAAATTTCAATTTCTTAAAGTATTTTGACTTTAAGGATAACATTCTCATCACGGCACTCGCGTTTCACGCTCGAAAATTAGAAACATACAATAGGAAAAGTAGGCATGCATTAACCCATTAACGGAATTTTTACAGGTATTTTGAGGCTCTATCAAATAGTGTACTAAAAGAACCGAAAATTTTTAAATAAACAATTTACAAGCATTAAAAAAAAGATTTTTTTAGAATTTTTGTTCAGTTTTTATAATTTTTTCAAATCCTATCCCTTCAGAATACCTTTAAATGCTAAAAATATCGCGTCAAAAATATTTCAATACGCCATTTTGAATTTTCAAAAACTGAATTCAGAATCGTAATGAGCGACCTAAAAAACCAACGAGTAGAAAGATTTATTTAAATTTCCTAAAAAGATTGTTGAAAAATGAATTTTCTCTTAAAAAAAGCAATTTTTAAACTTAGTTAATTTATAACCCAAGAAGCATGGTATATTCCCTGAATATCCCTTGAATACCACCGTGGAATATTCCCATGATCTTCCAGGAAAATCAAAATGTCCGCATCATGGAAATATTCCACAGTGACATTCAGGGTATATTCCAGTGACATTCAGGGTAATATTAAAGGAATATTCCAGTGATATTGAGAGAATATTCCACGGTTATATTGAATTTTTTTTAAGTGTTGAAATAATAGAAATGTGTTATAAATTGTTATTTGAATAAGCAGGAACATTAAAAACACACTTCAAAAAAAAATTCAATGTAACCATGGAATATCCCCTCCATATCACTGGAATATTTCCACAATATCACCTGAATGTCCCCTTAATGTCACTGGAATATTCCATGAATGTCACCGAGGACTATTCCCCCAATGTCATTGGAATGTACCCTGAATGTCACTATGGACTATTCCCATGATGCGGACATTTTGATTTTCCTAGAAGATCATGAGAATATTCCTGCAACACTTATTATTATTGTTTCACTTCACAATGCCTTCATTA